GTCTCCGTTCCCTCCTTCAGGGAACGAGGGTTACCATACGTAACCGAGACGTTTTCTCTGTATTTGAGCTGTTTCGAACTTACTGTTTGAATGCATTTGTTTACTCTGGATCCTTGGACTGAAAAGTTTACAGGAGTTTACCGGTTTTTAAGCTATTGTTTTCGTTGTAATGTACTGATTCAAATTAGTAATCAATAATTAACTATTATTTTTACCACTCGCGCATGAAGCAGCATCTCTGTCACTGTCGGCAGTCGGCATCCTCTCTGACTGACGGAGCAAGGGAGGGCGCAGGCGCAATCATCAAACATATTTCAAAGGAAGCCGGCGCCACGGTCCTGACCGCATCACTGTCTTTACTGGGTGTTTTTAGGGAATTATTTTTTTTATTTTTTTTTTTACACGCGATTGTTTTAGCTATTCATGTGGTGGACTGTCATGATTTTGCCTAATGCAGGACACTAATGAATGATGCGCATCAGAGGGGATTTAGAAGTGGGTATACGCAAAGCCTACTGATAAAGAAGTGGGTATACGCCGTATACCTGCGTATACCCTCCACTACACCACTGGAAAGACCCTTAATGGGAGCTGATCGATGGCACCCAGCATCCCATCAATGGTGCTCGAGTCTTTTTGACAGACTGATTCTCACAGTTTCTTCATTATCCAAGATGAGAAAATAATTCGCTTTTCCTTTCCTGGTCGACTACATGAAATCTTCTGTGGATGTACCATTTTACACACTTGAAGATTAAAAAAAACAAACAAACTTGAGTCTGAGAGCATAAGGCTGAGCACATCTTCCATTATGCACATCTTCCAAAGAGACTGAATCAATATTCATTAAAGGTAAATTAAACCAAAAAAATAAATAAATAAAAACAAACAAAATACTTCAATATGGTTGGCTGCAGGTTGTGTTTAATCATCTGATCTCAGAAATCTGTCTGCCACCACCGTGTTTCAGAAAACATGTTCAGGGTGTTTACAGCCCAGGACTGAATAAGTCATGTTAAAACTCACATGAAATATTCAGAGATATGCATTTGACTAATGAAAACACATCCAGAAACTGAAATGACAAAAAAGCATTCAGGAGTATTCCCAACATCATACATCATGGGCTTAGTTGTTATGCAATGCTATTTAAAATCCTTGCACTGTTTTTTGTGTTTTATTTACTCTGGGTTTCTTGTAAAGGGCACACAGTGTATTTATGAACTCTTAACCCCATGTATATAAATCTCTACCTCGTTGGCTACGATTAGTGGTAAATCTTGGCTGTTGAAAGAATCTGGTCTGGTCTAACAGAGCGGCACCATCGACAAATGAAAACAAATGTTGACTGCCGTGAGCATTAGCATCTACAAGCACTGTGACTTCTCTCCACAAGTTACAGTTACTTCAAGTGTTGATTCATTGTGATGCAAAACCAAACGCCAGCCATTCTGGGCATTCACAATGGATGGGGAAAAAAAAGATGGGAATGGAAAGACGCAGAAAGCGAAGGTTTCTGGAATGACGGTGGTGACTGTGTCACAGGCAGCAGCTGTTCGATAGCAGCATGTGTCCCTTTTTACCCGCTAACCTTAATAAAGAGACATCGGAGAGACTGTCTGAAGAGAAATCTAGGAGAAAAGAACATTCCTGGTGCCTCTGGCCTAAATTTAGCCTCAGCTGGAGAAAGATTTCACAGGAGGTCACATCCAACATCTGCCATCTCCAGAAGCCCAGCTCAGAGAGTGAAAGGCTCTGAAGGCGGTCTGGTCCGAAAACCATTTATCCATCATTTTGATTTAGTGCTGAGCTGATGATATGAAATGCCACCAAATTAGAGAGAGAAGTGGGGGGGGGGATAATGAACTTGTTAAAATCCTTTCCCAGTGAGAAACGCACATCCATATCAGAAGGTCTTTTAGTCTGCCAATGCGTATAACAGTGTGTACGGACGTGTCAGACCAGCGGCCACAAGAGAGAGACACACATGATCAATCCGGCAGTCTGTCCTTCAGAGAATATATGAAATAGAGACATAGATAAAGAGAGTTGGGTCTGTTCCGGTCCCCTCCGTTCACTGCAGTCCCATGATTCACAGTCCAGGAGGAGACAGTGGATGGTGGGTACAGTTCTCTCCTCTCCTTTGCACTGGCAGCTGCTGTCTTTCTCACAAGGAGGGAGGCGTTTAGAAAAGGGGTGAGTGAGGGGGAGAGCGCCCCCCCGGTGAGTCCGCTCTACTGCTGGGTCTCGCTGCCAGGCAGGGTGATGTTGCCCAGGTGCAGGACGGGCAGAGGATGGGCCTCTGTGTTGAACACCCAGTTCTCAAGAGGCAGCAGCTCATCGCTGGAGAAAAGTAGATAGAGATACCTACAGAAACACACACATAAGGATCATACAATTAACCTGACGTTTATAGCAAACTGGGTCACGGATCCGATTCAAACACATTTGGCAATGGGAAACTTCAGTGTTTCAATGACACCAGCAGGTGGCAGTAATGACCGGCTGTCTTTCCACTCCTATTTCCTTTGCAAATCCCACTTTGTTTAGCTAATAGTCACTGCTTTTCACAGTGCTAGCTTTATGCTGCATAGTTACCTTGACCATTATTACATTAACAGAAAACAATAACATGTACTAGCTCAATGAACTAAAACAGTTTGTGCTACTATAGCGACACAGCTTCAGCATTGTATTGTTAAATGAAATGATATTTACTTGAGCGTTTCAGCCAGGAAGAAGCTTTGCTGGACATCATCGTAGGTGGGGTTGGAGGAGTAGACGTCTTTAACACCAGAGAATCCTCCGCTTACTCGGCAGTATTTATCTATAGCCTGCAGAAAATGTGGAGAAAGTCGGGGGTCAGTAAGAGCTTTTTTTTTTTTTTGTGAAAGAAATGAATACTTACTCAGCAACGATGCATAAAATATATTAAGCAGCACAACTGTTTTCAGCACTGATAATAATTAGAAATGTTTCTTTAGCAGCAAATCAGCATATTAGAATGATTTCTGAATGATCATGTGACACTGAAGACTGGAGTAATGATGCTGAAAATTCAGCTTTTCCACCATAGAAATAAATTACATTTTAAAACATATTCAAAGAGAAAACTGTTATTTTAAATTGTAATATTATTTCATAATATTGCTGTTTTTACTGTATATTTTTAAAAAACATGCCAACCCCAAACCTTTGAACAGTGGAGTATATATAATATTACATATAATAATATTATATTTGTCCCCATGACAGCTAATACATTGTTTATTTATTCTGAATTTTGATTTACTTTCACAACTGAATTGACTTTTTCTTGCAAATTTGTGAAAAATGGTGAAGGTGAAAGATGATAATCCTGGCACCTTAGATGAACTTTTGATGGTAAAGGTTGTTAAAAGATGCTTGAGTCATGACTATGTCTTTGATTTGAATTATGCACATATCTTACAACAGCGAGGGCCAGACTATTGTTCTTAAATTCGATTAAACCATGTAATATCTTGCAGTTTCTAATAAAGTTTCCATCCAACTGGTGAGTAACTCAGGCTAGCTCAGTTCCAGATGTACCATTTCCCGTGCTTTAGCTCAGAAAGATTGCCTATACAGTATGTGCTATATCAAGTAAAACCCTGTCCTAATCACCAATTTATGACTGCAAATCAAATCAATGCATAACTGTGTACTCGCAGTAATGACAAGCCAAAAATAGAATATATACGAAGCCGCTCTATTTTTCTGGCCCTGTTCTCCAGGAACCAATAATGCTCCATTAGTGCTGTTCCAGCCTCTGCAGGCAGGACTGATGCAAGCCATCCGTGCCAGGAAAACATGGCATGATGTGCTCACCTACCTGGAGCAGATCTGCCTGAAACAGCTGCTACACTGAGGACTCACCTCACACGGTTATAACGCAACAGCAGCTGGCCTGATCCAGCCTCCTATTATACCATTCAACAGAGATTCACTCAAGACTTGCAGCTTCATTTCCTCTATTTTCCATTTAGATTGCCTTTGGATCATCAAACATCTTTAAAACACTGATTTAACCACACTGTTGAGTATAATCTTTATCAAATCTCAAAATGAATTTCCATTTTTCCCATACTACACCTTCTAATGTTATGATGCCTAAATTTACTTGTAGCATTTAAAACAACAGACTTTAGTTTTTTTTTAGGGTTTTATTGTTTTTTATATAAACCATAGATGCCCAAACTTCAAAAATCAATTAAACAAATGTAAACAATTAAAGAAAAGAAAAAAAGTTAAAACTTTCAATCAAATTGATAAAATGACGATATGCCTCATTGGCACATTGGCAATGTTCATGGGTTTGGTCTTAGAATAGATCTGCTACGCTGCTGCTGCCGCCAATACATCCACAACATGCTGCTGTGAGCATGTAACAAGTACTACTGCTGCACATATAACACATATGAAATAACCCCCATATATAGCATACATGAATCACCGTGTAGCAGATCTATACAGGTGGAGCTGGGGAAGGTGGAGAGTTAATGAAGGGTGCTGCAACTGCTACAGCAAGCACTAGCCAAGTATTTGAATGTTGAGCAGCAAGTTCATTGGCTGCTGATATAAAAAGAACCAATCAGCTGCACCATACGATGATGTCATTATGTCAGATTGAGTTAGACCTATTGGACTGCACCATCTAGAGCTTCATGACAGAATTTTGGATTTGTGTTCTCTTATTGAATGACAGTGATATTAAAAATCTGGCTGACACAATAAGGTGATTATTTTTGTCATGTTATGGTTGTTAACCAATAAATGGCAGACTTTAAAAATGTAGTTTATTTTGTAAAAAAATAAATTAAAATAAAACATTGCAATCCAGTTATTATTGAATACAGGCATTCTAATATTAGAAATGCAGAGAATGAAATATGGATGACCATTTATTTTAAAGGTTGACATGAGAAAGTCCCTAAAATAGAGATGAGACGTTTATTACAGGAAAGCGCAGTTTAAAAAAAATAGTCCTCTTAAAGAATTAAATCACTGTTATGATCTAGCGCTATTCCTTTCAATTGCCAGTAAACAAAAATTTCAGAAAGCAGTTTCCAAAATTAATATCCACTATTTAGTTGTAGGCACTCTTTTCCTAGGATATTTAATTAACTTAATATTTATACAATATTCAACATCCAGTAAAAATTTATTTTCCAGCTAAGCATCTTAATTTGAATCACTACAGTGATTTGTTACATATTAAAGTAAAAAAGCCAAATTAATAAACATTTGCATTGCATACACACACACACACACACACACACACACACACGTATATACATATATATATTTTATGTGTGTGTGTGTGTATACCGTATATCTTTATCACTGGAAAGAGATGCTGACCTGCACTGCTTCCCAACCCCACTGCCTGTATTTGGGGTCGTGGGTAAATCTCCACATGTACCAGTACGTCTCGATGACCTCAGGCCTCAGGATATAGTATTTCTCATTCTGTCTCACAGCCACTGCTTCCAGCCCACTGTCGAACTTAAAGGCCTCTGGGCCGAGCTTCAGCACTGCAAACAATAAAAGGTTTATGCGTTTAGTACTATTAGTTGAACCTTCGGCTCTCATGGTGCTATAAACGTGAAACTATCTGTCTGAGAGCCTGTTGTGGCTAAGCTGCAATCCATCAATGTCTTTCAGTCAAGTTGTGTGAAATAGAAATGCCATACTCTAAAAATAACCTGTAGTGTTACCATGGCAACAAACCATGCTACAAATTAGATTTGAAGTCCAAAGATCTCATGCATTTTTTTATACCCTTCATCTCTCTCTTGCCCCCTTACATATTCACTAACCAGTGCGATCGTAGCTTTCGTGGCAGGTGTGTGCAATCTCTGCTCCGAGCTGCAGATAGTGTCCAGCTTTATCATCTGGCGACCCATCAGCCCCCAAGGCAAACATGCCCCCAGCAAAGCAAGTCAGGTGACCCATCTTACGCTCCAAGTGGCCGTTTTTCCACTCCCCGATGAAAGTAAGGCCACCGTTGGACTTACGGATGAGGTGGCGCTCGATAGCCTGTAGGAAGAGAAAGAAAGAGAGAATGAACAGAGAGAAACTGATGCAGCACGAAACACACAAATTGCCATTGTAGCCTGCAGCCCTCACCTCGATGGCATCATCGTACGTCTTGCGTGCCTCTGTGTCCGTTTTATCAGACATCAGCCAGGCCTTCAACAGGTACTCATAGAAACTATCACCCAACCCACCTACTGAGGTGTGATCTGCAGAGCAAGAGAGAGACACAAGGATAAGCTTAATAAATGTATGTTGCTGATGGTAAGGACAGAAAACAACCTCTAATAGTTATTAAACTTAGAGTAAAGTGAGTTTAATACTTCAAAATGACAAAACTAGCCTAATTAGATACCTCTAAATTCCAAACTTTGTGAACATGCATTCAACTGGAGCAAAGAAAAGCCTGCTATGATTCTTTTGATTACTCTGTTCATAGCTCAGTCTTTTAATGTGCCTGAATGCTGCCATAAAAGTGTATTCAGGCTTGACACCGACCCTCATTACAATAAAAATGCACAAGTGAGCATGTTTTCGCTGGCGTTTATTCAGCGTGGACACACACCAGCACACACCTAATCACTTATAAACACAGCCATTGAGTGTGTGTTCCACTTTGACACGGCTAATGACTCTGTAGAGTGAGTGTGTGTAAAGTGTGAGTGTTTGACAGGCTGGGAGTCATTTGTGCCGGTAATGGCTCGTAATGGCAACCTACAACAGAACATGTAAACAATCTGTGTTGACTTGTCGGAGGGAGCTGTAGAAATTAAGAATGAAATATTGAAGATATTGAACATGGACAGAAACAGAGAATATTAAAAAAAAGAGGCACTAGGTTAGAGCCATGGCCTCGTGATTAGCTGATATCAATGAGGTATCAATAAGAGTTTGAGTTTATTAATCTATCTGTTTCTTTGACCGTCGGTCTATCTATCTATCTATCTATCTATCTATTCATCCATGTTATATATCTATATCTTTCTGTCCATAGCATCTGTATGTCTGTCCATCCTTCCAGCCAATCTATCTGTCTATATCCACGTCTGCCTATCTGTCCGTCTGTGTTATATTCTATGTAGGTGTACCTACGACGTTTGTATGTCTGTATGTCCATCCATCCATCCATCAACTTGTCTTTGGATCTATATTATCCGTCTTTAATGTCTAATATCTTGTTTATCTGTATGTCTATATTCGTTCTGTCTATGTCTGTCTGTCTGTCTATCAATCTATCTAGTCTGTGTCGCTCTATCTGTCTGTAATATCCATCTTTCTGTATGTCTATATCGGTCTATCCATCTGTCTATCTATCTGTTTGTCTGTCTGTCTGTCTAATATCCATCTGTCTGTAACCATCCATCCATTGGTTTGTCAGTCTAATATCTTGTCTATCTGTATTTCTGTCTGTCTTTGTCTGTCTATCCATCCATCCATCTATCTGTATGTCTATGTCTGTCTATGTATCTATCTGTATGTTTATATTTATGTCTGTGTTTATCTGTCTGTCCATCTATCCATACATTCTCTCTCTCTCTGAGTGTCAAGATTAACAAGGAAGCTTGTTAACCCATTTGGGAAACAGACAGGACACACAATCTCCAAAGGAGAACAGGAAGTGTGAAGTGTGTGGGAGGCAGAGGAGTGTATACTGTACACTTGCTGTATATAGTATCATAGAGGAGCGAGGGAGGAGCCCATTAGCACTGTCACAGCTCATATCTGCCACGGTTAGTGAGCTGTACTGCATTCAGTCTGCTGAGAGAGAGCTAGGAGGGCAAATGTTCAGGAGATAAACTGCCAAAAGCCATTATGGAAGGTCTTTAGAGGAGATTGGGGGTGGAGTACAGATTCAGAGGTGATGTTTTACACGAGAGAGGTGTGAACACGCAAGTGACACGGCTAAAAATTGCATCTGCAAAAGCTAGTTTAAAAATCAGAGTGAGAACTAAAGAAATCAATGAGGCAGCAACGAGGCAGGAGGCTGAAGCACTTTATGAGAGATCCTTTACAGAGACACTGAGACAAAGTAAAAGATGTATTTTATGCTAATGGATGCGAGGGACTGACCTGGTAGAGGCAAGACGTAGAAGCTGAGATGAATTATTCAACATGAGAGGGAAAAAAAAGAGGTGGGGGAAAAAAAACTGAATAGAAAGAGAGAGACTGAGACGTCCAATTACAGGCCACTTGTAAGTAACTCTTACTAGTCCGTCCTGCTGCAAGAGGCGGGGCATTTTGGAATATAGATGCAAAAATTGTGTACATTTTCTGCAGAAATTATCAGTGCAAAAGCAATGCTGCAGATAATTCCCAAAATGTTGCCATGTGGTTGCCAAGGAATTGCTTACAGTGCCAATTCAAAAGAGCCCAGGTCTCTATGATATTCTTGTCCCCAGATATGGCTCAGATGGCTCCATAAATTGAAACTTTAGTTTTTCTGTCATTCTAGGCAAAGATTGCTTGAAAGCAATATTACACTTTTCCTCAACACGTCATAGACATGTATCATTTATGCCCCAAGGACAAACAGAGCAGGATGAGTTAGGTTAAGATTTAAGTGATTCTTGGCTTTGCACGTAATACCAATAACTAAATATGGATAGAGCTAGAAAAACGTATAAGAAGAAATAGTTCAGAGAGAATGTGTGGATCTTGACAGTGTGAGAATCTTGACAGGTTGAAAACAACAGAGAGGAAAACAAGCTGCTCAGAGACAGCGAAAGGAATGGAGAAAAAAGGTACAGAGAAAGAGGCGAATGTGTGCGAGCAGCACAGAAAGAAAGGTGGTAGAATCATAATAAATATAATAAAATAAGCATCATCAGTGATTAAGATGATGAATAATACATAGATGGTGCAGGCTGGTGTGCAGTGAGACAAAGGAATAAAGAAAAGTTGTGGCAGTGGAAAGATTGATTGAAGCGGAGACGTTTCAGACTCATAAACTCTCAAAAATCCCAGTCAGACTCCCATAAACCGTCTGGGCCTTTATTTCACAACCTCTTCTGGCACGGCTGCCAGTCATCGAACGTCTGGATTTTCACTTCTGCCAATCAAAAACAACTCCCTAACGGCCTCCCGCTGAAAAGTAAATGCACTCAAAGTCTTTGAATAAAAAACAACAGGGTGGATTTGAGTAACAATCAAAGATCCAGGCAGGAAACCTCTACAGAGAGGCTTGGCTGACAGCAAGCGGACAGGCCATGGATAGAGAATGATGGGCTGAGGAGGAGATGTGGATCTAAAATCTAAAGGCCCCTGGAGGTGATGCAGTAGAGACGTGGAGAGAGAACTTTAAAGGGGTAGTTCACACAAAAATAAATGTTCTGTCATCATTTAATCCCCCATCCGACTTGCATGGAACACCATAGGAGATGTTTAGCACAATGTCCAAGCTGCTTGTGATACACAATCCCCATTCACATGAACTCTATCGAAAAACTTATTTTGCGTTCCACACAGGACAGAAAGTCATTTGAAATGAAATGAGGGAGAATAAATGATGAGAGAACATTATTTTTGGGACCTGTCCCTTTAAGGGTCCACAGGGCAGATGCAGTGTGGGAGAGGGAATAATACTCTGCTGTAATGGCCTGTCACTCACGCCGAGTTTTCATTTAGAAAATAGATCTCTAGTGCACCTTAATTACATTTTACCCCTTTGGACACACACATACACCATCAGACTTTACTGGAATTTAGTCTTTGTGTGCATGTGTGTTTGTGTGTGTTTGCTTGCAGTGGGTTGATCAGGTTTAGCCTTTAGATGCAGGGCACTAATTAAACCCTCATCTCTCTCAGTAATTAAGAGTTGGTTAAAACACAGTGGAGTGTTTTCACTACAGATAATTACTAATTATACATAAAGAAAGAAACTTCCTCACATCCCATCTTTATTAAAGCTCGTTGATCAGGGAGATGAGGTTAAGCTGCCATTGTCGTCATTCACATTTATAGAATAATAAATCCTGGTAGAGGGATTATGAAAATCATCCGTGTCTATAAACAGGCTTCACAGAGTGGTATTTTGGATCCTCCATTTGATCTGAATCTCTTATGATTATTGCAGCAATACGAATAACAAAACAGGGCTCAGAAATGAGAAAGGCCTGCTGAGCCGAGTGAGTGAGTTTCAGATTAGCACGTTGTAACTATGTTACATTTGTTATTGATATACAATATCTTTAAAGTTTGTGGTCAGTTTTCCCCTCAAATAAATGCTGTTCTTTCACACTTTCTATTCATCGAAAAATCCTGAAAAAGTGCATCATGGTTTCCACAAAAAACTTAAGCAGCACAACTGTTTATGATAGCAAATGTTTCTTGAGAACCAAAATTATTTTTCTATTTTAAATAGCTGTAATGGATTTACAGAAATTACTGCTAAATTATAAATTCAATATAATTTATTTAATAAATTATAAACTATTTATTAAAATAATGTTTAACACTTAACGCAAAATGTTGCCAGACAGCAAATAAAATATAATAAAAAATGTATAATATAATACATTTCATTTTGGCATAGCAAGTAAAAATTGAACCTGACTAAGACAACAGAAAAATATATATTGGATATACTTTAAGTCTATTATATCAGCAATCTTGACCTTCACTTGCATGCTCATGACTCAAAGGCTTTTCCAAACAATACGCAGCAAAACTGTCTACATTTGTTGTTTCGAGCCAAACCTAAGGCAGCATTTCATGTATCATTCATGGATAAAGTAGTCCCAGAAAAAAAACGTTTATGGAAACAAAATTCATCTAAGATAGTGGACAGAGTCCAGAGAAAAGTCTATTTTATTCAGTGCTATGAAACACTAATTGCAAATTCTTCCATCTACTTATAAAGCATAATTTTACCCAACTGTTGTGTGTGCAATCTTTTTTTTTTATCTACCACAGCATCAAGATCATGTTGTGGGTGTCTATAACCCTCTTTATTTCATACAGTGTGAGAATTCACAAAACGCCTTTTGTGGTGAAGTGGAAAGTGAGAGTTGCTTATGCAGCATAGAGGATGTTAGTGGGAGGCACTCACGCTGGCCCCAGCGTCCTGTGCGTGGGTTCAGGTAGTTGGGGTAAAGCCCGTTGGGTCTGTCCATCTTAGCCAGCAGCTTCCGTATGTGCATCACCTAAACCAGAACACAGAGTTCACAACAGGACACAAACACAAGGGCCAACACAGTTACACAACACTCATACACCCAAGCGTACCTTCTGATAGTAAGCAGGGTTTCCAGTCAGATACGTCAGGTGCACAAACTCCATGTGCAGCGTCCCGAACTCAGCCAGAATACTGCTTCCAGCTGACGCCCAGCCCCAGTTACGCCCCACTCCACTGAAACAGACAGAAGGAAACACCCATGACATTTACGTATTGTATGTTCCTTACTAGCCTAAAGCAAACATCCACCTTCACACGTTTGCAGCGTGTAGACAATGAAGAATTACTGCGAGCTCATTTAAGTCAAACAGCTTCATTCCCGGTCCAAACGGATTCACTGCCGCCCATCATTCCTTCCGTCAAGCCCAATATCCTGTGCTCTACTTGTACTTCTCATTTCCATGCAGAATGTATCCACAGTGTGTGTGTAGACTGCGAAAGGCTGCTCTACATGAATGGGGATTAATAAAACACAGCGTCGTTCTTTCCCTCAGGATTAAAGACACCTAAAATGCGGTGGTCTCGTCTGTTCCCGAGCAATTTCTTCTAAACACCCAATTAATTCACAAAGCCGTGTCAGGCTGGATTTGACCCTCCTCCCTCCTCAAACACAAAAAAACCTTAATGCACATTCACAATGCGCTCTGCAGATTAATTGTGCAATTTTCATTTAATTCTAATGAAATTATGTGGAAAGTCGAGTTAAACAGGAAGAAAGCCACAGGGATTTTCGTAGACGCACATGGTCTAACAGCCTTCCATTATGTGGCAGCCCCCATCAGGACAATGAGGGGAGGACAGACAGCATGGGGAAAAAGAGGCAAAGAGAAAAAAAAATGAAAGGACGAAGGCGTGAAAGGGAAGGTGTGTATGTAACATACCTCTTCAAATTGACCATGGCCCAAGGGATGCCTGTTGGGGTGTTGAAGGCAGGAAGCAGCTTTTCTGCCAGCTGGACAGCCTTCACCTTAAAAACCTAAGAGACAGAGACATACAGAGGAGAGAAATACATTATGAACCACAAGGGAGACAAAGCAAAGCATACAGGTGGACAAAAAGAATCAAGTCAGCTCTAGGGAATTAAAAAAACAAAAAAAACTGTGTGGGTGAATCACACAAAAACGTGTCAGTGGCGTTTTTTATTATTTTGATTCAGTGTGGAAAAAAACAATTATACTTACATAATTACAACATTTACATAATGAAAATGTAGCCTATTCAGGACCATTAAGATTTCTTTTTCTTCAAAAATCTTTTGGCATAGCATGTTCAGACTTAGTGCAATTCCAGTTATTATTCTCTAAAGCAGTGTTTCCCAACCGGGGTGCCGTGGCACCCTGGGGTGCCGTCTGTCGAGAGTAGGGGTGCCGTGTAAAAAAATCATTTTTTAATATTTTTAAATTGCTAAAATGTTCAAAAAAGCATCTATTATATAATATAAATAATATTAAAAATATCTGTATGGCATTATATTCTGCAGTTCTTCCCTGTTGTACCGAATATCTATACTTTTCAAATTATCACATCGAAGTTGGAAATTCAAATATTGTGACAAAATAAATTTTGTAGGGTGCCACAAGTTTGTTTAAATTTCCAAAGGGTGCCGCGACTAAAAAAAGGTTGGGAAACACTGCTCTAAAATGAGTATCATTCCTGTAAAAAAATTCTGCATAATGAAAGTTTAATAATATTCAGTAGACAAATACTACAATGATACTTATATACCATAAATATTAACAAATCAAAATAATTCAATAATATACATGTAATTTACAAATAAAATAATGTACAGTAACAGTAACGCTACTGTTCATAAATTAATGATAAGACTTTTTAAGAAAAAGCTTTAAATTGTAATTGTATAATATGAAAAATGTTTCAAATAAAGGCTTTTATGGTTTCCACAAAAATATTATGAAACAGAAATGCTTTCAGCATTGGTCAGAAATGTTTCCTGAGCACCAAATCAGCACATTATGATGATTTCTGAAGGATCATGTGACACTGAAGACTGGAGTAATTGCTGCTGAAAATTCAGCTTTGCAATCAAAGGAATAAATTACATTTTAAAATATACTGAAATATAAACATTTCGAATTGCAATGCTATTTCACAGTATCACTGTTTTACTGTATTTATAATTACATAAATGGAGAGTAAGAGTGAGAATAAGAGACTAAGAGAATAAGAATAAGAGATTTCTTCAAAAACAGTAAAAAAAATTTAAAAAAAAAAAACCTTACCAACCTAAAACTTTACAGTAATGTATATTTTTTGTATTAATTTATATTTAATGTATATATTCTTTGCAATAGTGATACTTTCTCAACCGGGTGATTCAATGAGAATTTAAATCACCCCAATGACATATTGTAAGGGCAAATTTGAAGATTTTCAATTATATATTTCAAATTGACACAATGCATAAAAATACATAAATAAAAAAGTAAATACATAAATAAATAAAAAACCTAATGTCATAAAGTTATAAAACGTTATAAAAAAAAGTTATAAAAGTTTTTTTTGAGGTGAAATATGACCCAGACTTGGTCTTGCTGATGGGTTTTGTGAGATTCACCCCTGTAGCACGACTAACGCTACAGACTCTACAGACTCCTGACTGAAGGGATAAAATCTGTCCACAAACTCAGCAGAGGGGAACTCACACACACACACACGCAGAGAGAAAGAGACAGAGAACACACATTTGAGACAGAATAAATACCCAAAGAACGACACACCTGAATTTGTTTACTCACTACTGTCAGAAGAGAGATGATGCACTGGGGCCTCGTCATAAAGTTCAAATATTGAACTGCGACAACCTTTGCCAACAGCTGCAGATTAACAACAACTACTGCTGCAGATAGACACATTCAAAGCAAAGACGAGCCTACCCTTAACAATATGATAGAACAAGTAAGTGATGACAGAATTGTTTTGTTTTTTTCAAACCACCCAGATTGCTTTAGGTGGTTTATCCCTGCAATAATAATATAAGCTACTTTTGATAAAAGCATCTCTTGAATAATCAAGTCCAATCAGACACTTTATGAACAAATCAGCATAGACACAGAAAGAATGACTTCACCTTTCCAACAGTGTAGTATTAGTCGTTGTTGATGTCAAATGTGCAGCAATCAATATTTTATTTTTCCCTCAACAGTAACTGTTGTCATCATAATTTCGGCGAGACTGTCTGACTACAACTTTGCCATCCCACCAAGTGATTTCGAGCAAAAATGGCTTGAAAATATCTTGTGCTGATGACTCACAGCCAGACTCCTATAAGCAGGGTAAGATCTGCTGCTCATGTCAGAGCGGGAGCTGTGCGGTTGATCGTGTTTTTAGGACCGAAGATAGAATGAAGCCATAGCAGAAAAAAGGCCTCTGGTTCTTAGACAAACAGCACAGCTGCCCGAGCCACTGCTGAGGCTTTTATTTCTAGCCCGTCTTATGGATGTTTACACAGAGTCTATTAAAATGCACAGCAATTCACTAGAATAGATGTGTGAGGAGCTTTTGAGATATTTCTGACACACACACACGCACAGAAATACCACAATGCTGTGTTTACAAAAGGTCCAGTAAAAAGAAAACACATTAAGTAAAATCATTTTTGGCAAAAAAAATACAAGGCTGGGGACAAAGAACAAAGCAGATATTATTTGCACCCAAAAAGAGCACCAAGAAGCACCAAGGCTACAATTTATTTTAGCAGTAATGTATTTATTAAAATGCATTATAAACCGTAATATTATGATATGTTATTACAATTTAAAATATTTTCCTTATTTGCATGTATTTTCAATGTAATTTATTCCTGTGATGGCAAAGCTGAATTTTCAGCAGTATCATCACATGAATCATTGTTATTATTCAGAAACATTTATCATTATCAATACTGAAAACAGTTGTGCTGCTTAATATTTTTGAGGAAATCATGCTACATTTTCTCAGTACCCTTTTATGAATAGGAAGTTCAAAAGAACAGCATTTATTTGAATTAGAAATCTTTTGTAATATTATACATGTCTTAACTGTTTAATCAATTTATTGTTTTCTTGCTAAACAAAAGTATTAATTTCTTTTAAATAAAAAACAATGCGCATACATAGGCCTACGTATGCGTATATGTCTAGAAAGAGAAAGAAAAGTAGTTTTTAAAAAAAAAAGTTTTTTTTTAAAGTTAGATTTAATTTGGGTTGTCTATGCAAAAATACCATTGCATTCTCGTCACATTTTTTTTTTTAAATAGTTATCGCGTTCTAGCAGACTATTGTTATACAAATAGCCATGCTGTGCATCCAGTTCTATTTAAACAAGGAGCAAATGGTCACTCAAAATTGTAGGAGAACAGAACAAGAAAAGGCGAAAGAGTACAGAAATGGTACGAAAAATGAAAGACGACAGAGAAGGAAGCCTAATTTAGGCTGAACGAGTGCTTCCCTCAGGATTACTAGTTGGAGCAGTGTGTTTGTGAGTGAGTGCGTGTGTAATTCCCAGAATGCAGATTTCGACGCTGAAGCCTAATCTGGTTGATGCGGATCATAAGCGCCAGAGATGATCCTGTTATTACACATATAAGGATATGACCATGGACATTCCCCACGATACAGCTTCTGCTCTCTGTTCATGAACACACACACACACACACACACACACTACAGCACCGTCAGCCTGAGATGTTCCTTAAACGTCTAATGGAAGCATAAAAAGAGATTATGGAGAACACACTGGAGATGGAGGAATGAGTGTTTGCACAGAGGGTTCCACAGGGGTTCAGGGTTAAAGCTGGATTTCTGCCCTCTCTCTTGCTCTGGGTCTCAGTATGTTTGTGCATCTGCAGCCTTTTATGACAAACCTTCTGCCTGGTGTTTTTATTCTATTCGTCGTCATGGCAGCACAATCGGGAGCTGCCAATCAAGGCCGACACAAACAATCAGATCACAGCATCAGAGACGTCGGCTAATGAAGAAATTAGGCTGTCGTCTGTGAGAATGTTTATGCGCATTTAGTACAATGCTTCTCATCTCCTCCAAGCAAATAGGGACAGTCAGTGCATTTTTACATTTACATTTCAAACACATTTTCGGCCTTTATTTAAAATGATTCCTCCAGGTTTATAAATAAACTGCACAGCTTCAGAAGAGACAATGTAAGAGACGCACAGCTTAGAGTCGACATGGAAAAACACTCAAAATGCACAAGTTGTAAAAAAAAAAAAAATAATTATTCAATAAGCTTCTCTTTTCTAATTGAACTGTATATGACGCAGCTTTCAGGAGATTCCTCAGACACATTAATCATGAATTCTGTTTTTTTCTCCCATTATTTAAGCATTATTATTATTTGTGACCCTGGACCGCAAAACCAGTCTTAAGTCGCTGGGGTATATTTTTAGCAATAGCCAAAAAAAACATTGTATGGGTCAAAATTATCGATTTTTCTTTTATGCCAAAAATCATTAGGATATTAAGTAAAGATAATGTTCCATGAAGATATTTTGTAAAGTTCTTACCGTAAATATATCAAAACTTAATTTTTGATTAGCAATATGCATTGCTAAGAACTTCATTTGGACAACTTTAAAGGCGATTTTCTCAATATTT